CTCTGGAAGGCACCGAGATGTACCTTTTTGCGCAAATGGTCAAATCAAGGTTTTGTAACGCGAGCTGTGCCACAGTGAAATGGCACTAGCCTTTCCTATCTCTCTTCGCAAAATGTCTCTCGCCGATTCTCGCGGCAACCACCAACGTTCGGCGGTCGTTCTTTCCCACTTGCCCCCCCCCCCCGCTCGCCCCTTTCTCTCTTTTTCACTTTCTTCTTTCTTTCATCCCCCCCGGGGGAAGACTAACGAGATAGACTTTTGGATTTCGTCCCCCCCCCCCCCCCCCCCCAAAACGCCAACCCACCCTGCACCCACCACCCTCGCGCCGCGATCATATTTTATTTTTTGCCACGGTGTACCCTGTCGGCAACCGGAGGGGGGCAGACCATCTCGCAAGCTCAGCTGCGCAAGCGCCGCCATCGCGGCGCATGCCGTCGGTGGCGGAGACGGCGGCGGCGGCGGTGATGGCGAGGCGGACGGCGGCGGCGGCGAAGGCGAGGCGGAGGGTGGCGGCGGCGACGGCGATGCGGAGGGAGGCGCGGAGGGGGGCAAACACGCGCTCTTCTTCCAACACTCCTGCGATCCGCCGTTTAACGCGCAAGCAGACGACCAGCTGCCTGTCAAGGTATGCCCTCCCGTCTCGCATGCCTCGTCGCTCTCCTGAAGTTGGCATGGATATGCTGTGTTCGCCTGGTCGTAAAAAGCCTTGAAGCATTGCTGGTCGGACTTGCACGCTTCGAAACACTCCGCCTCGGTCGTGCCCGCGAGCAGAACGCTGTAACTGAGGAGGCAACGCAGCGCGTGATCGTCGTCGTATAGGCAAAGTGACCGCGGCGGCGCGGGCGAAGCGGACGGCGGCAGCAGCGGCGGCGACGGCGGCAACGGCGATGCGGAGGGAGGCGGCGGCGACGGCGACACGGATGGAGGCGGCGGCGACGGCGACGTCATGGCGAGCCGAAGCTGCAAGGTGAATTGTGGAGCGAGTTGCAATCGAAGGTGGCGTGGTTCATGAACGTCCATTTCCCCTCCTGGGGCCACGCGCTCAGTGCGATTCCCTTGTGCGGCGGCATGTCCAGCACAACCATCCCATAAGAATTTGCCAACAACAAACCCAAGACATAAAAGTCGTGGGAAACGCAGGAGAAAGAAACGACAGCAGGCACATCACATTTACCTGGTGAGTTGTGAGTTGTTTTTTACGCCTCACAGCCGGTGCAGGGCGCGACATAAATAAATAGAGCAGTCATCTCCCGTAGAGATGGGCAACGCACGAACACAGAGGTACAGTGCGCACCCCGCCCCGCTCACAGGGCGTGCATCACACAGGTGGACTGTGTGACTCCTCGGGTTTCTGGGGACTCTTGACAGAGGTGTGCTAGTCACTAGTCGGACGGTTCCGACATGTCCGGCGGGCAGTTCGGGCTCAAGTGAGGGCCGCGGTCGCGGTCGCGGCCAGCGCGCCGGGCCTGGCTAGGGCTGCCGGGAGTGATCTCGATGCACGCTCCGGAGCGCGCGTGGTGCTTGAGCAGCCGGGCGGTTGCCGCGGCCACCTCAAACGGCAGCTCGTCGAGCCACTCGGCAAAGGTGCCCTCCTCTTGCGCCGCAGCCAGGAATCGTTCGTCTAGGCCGTATGCGCGGCAAGCCCGGAAGAGTGCCTCGTTCTGGATCTCCTCCGGCGCCTCGGAGTCGTAGCCGCAAACGGAGGAGCCGGCAGAAGAGGCCCGCTTCGCAGGCGGCGCGTCGGGCGACGAGGAGCGCGAACGCCGCTGCGGCCCACCGCAAGGAGAGTGCGTTCCTGTCGACGCGGGGCGCAGCCTTGCGCTCCTCGGCCTGTTGCGCCTGCCGCTGGCCGCGACACACATGGCAGCGAGGCATTTTTTTCTTTTTTCGCGATGGACACGACCTAGACGCGTCCCTGCCTCGTGCCTGCCCCCAGGAGCGTCGATGTCCGCCAGCACGCAGCCCTCTGCCGAGGAGGCGCTGCGAGTCGCCCTCATCGCGCGTGGCGATGACGCGACCGAGATCGACGATACCATTCACGCCATTCGATCCGACCCCAACCGCTACCGCGAGCGGACGTGCGTGCGCGGCGCCTTTGCCCGAGCACTTCTCGCACCGAGTCGCAGCCAGCCGTTTGTGCCGGTTGGGCCAAGCATCCGTTCGCAGTCACAGGGGCAGCAGGCTGCCGTCAACGTCGACGTGTCAAGCCTCACCGAGCACCAGCACTATTGGCCGCTCGGGCCGCCAGTCAAGCAGGACGCGCCGACCTCGCACGCCTTCTCAAAGGTTTGTGTGGACCACACGCTTTCACGCTTTCGCGTCGGGTCCGAGGAGGAGAAGGCCGTCTGTCTGATATACGCGCACCTGATGTACGAGTCCAAGCCGAGTCCGCCTTGCAAGGAGATTCCCGCAGAGTACGCAGAGGGCGCCGCCCAAATGCGCGGGCCTTTCTTCACGGTACGCGATTTCGACCTCGAGCCACCGCTGAAGGGCTCACACAAGGAGATCCTCATCGTCGGCTCCACGCAGCTGAGCAAGACGCCAGAGGCCGGGGCCTCGGGGTGGGCGGGCTTCTTTGTCGATGGCTGCGTCCCCATCTTTGGCGGTGTGCTGCTCGCCTCCCCACTTGCCATCCAACCCCCCCCCCCCCCGACGCGGCGATCCCTCCCTCGCGCTCCAGTCCGCAACAAGGGAGGCGCCGAGACGGGTTCGCGCGACATGGCTGGCGGCATCGAGAAGCTCAACAAGCGCATCAAGGAGATCTTCGAGCACGAGGTCGGAGCGGGCAACATCGGTCTGCCGCTTGAGGACTACCGCAAGTTCATCCTGCACCCTCGCCGGACCAGTTTCGGGGAGCAGATCGAGTTCGACCCGAACAGCCTCATGCTCGCGCGGCCGCAGGCGCTTATCATCTGCATGAACCCCAACCAGGTCAAGAACCTGATCGGAGTCCGCGCCGCCTCGGAGGGTTTGCTCGAGATCATGAAGGGCAATACGCGCCACCCCTACCCTCCCAAGTGCCACGACCCGTACGCGCCCTTCGACGACGGCGCCAATCGGCCCGTCGCGCGCGTGTGGTTCATTCTCGACGAGGACGACCTCAACCGCTCCAACAACGGCAGCGCCACCGAGCGTCTGCAGTTTGATGCGCCGCCCGACGTGCTGCGACGCCTCGAGAAGGGCCTCGGGGCGCTCGTCCAGGCGGGAGCTGCGGCTTCCGCAGCCGCGGCCGGCAGCTCGCAGGACCCAGTGACCATCGAGACCGACGACGAGCCGCTTCTGGACGAGGAGGAGGACGTACCCGCCGCCGACGGCCGCACCGAGACCCGGTCGGGAGAGGTAGACGAAGACCGCATGCGCAACGAGTTCCGCAACCAGATGGACGCGACGGGCGTGCGCTCGGCGGTGCGTGGCGTCGTTGCTCTGACGGCCACGCCTAGCGCATGCGGCCACGACCTCTCCGAGACGGCCTCCCGCGTCCAGCACGACATCCACTGCATGGCGCACCCGTCCAACTACGTCGGCTACGGTTTCACGAAGGCCGAGTACGCCGAGCGCACCATCCTGCACGAGCCGGTGCCCGACCGCAAGCAGATCATCGCGATCAAGAAGGCGCCGATCTACGAGGCAGTCCTCAAGAAGTACGATTGGTGGGACAACGAGCTCAACGAGCCCATGCCGCCCTTCAAGCGCCGCGCCGACGGCGCGATCACCGTCAAGAAGGCCGACCTCGACGACATCGAGGAGGGCGGCGACAAGAGCTCGCGCGAGATCGCCGAGATTGTCGACAGGACGCAGCGCGAGTCGTCACGCCGCGGAGACAAGGTGCTCGAGTCGGACGGTGTTGGTATTGCGCTGATGCTCGCCTCGATGTCGACTGTTCCAGGCGAGCAGGAGCGCCGCGCGCTCATCATCTCCAACTACACCAAGAACGACCAGCAGAAGATGCAGCTCGCGCGGCACATCCTTGAGGGCGACCTGATGTACGAGGACGGCAACAGGCTGCCCGAGCGCTGCGTGTGCGACCTCTTTGTCATCATCCTCGACCACAAGAACCTCCGCATCATGTGGCGCGGCGCTTCGGGCTCGGGCGCCTCCGACGACGTCTACATCGCGCCCGACCACGACAGCCTCACTGTGCTCACCGCGATCCACGACGCATCGCCCGAGCTCTACAACGGCTGCCGCTCCGCTGACCGGCGGAGCCACGTCGAGCCACACGTCGAGGACCTCTACGAGGGCCGTGTCAAGATGTTTCGCTCCAGGTTCATCAACATCAACCACGCGTACACGGCCCTGCTGCTTTACGCCCACCGCCGCCGCCAGTCGGGGCGGCCGTTCAAGCTCAAGTCTATCGCCCTCGCCGGCGACCTCGGCGGCCGTGGCATCAACTACAAGCCGCACGGCTTCCGAGGTGACACGCACGACACGTGGATCATTCCGCCGCACCACGGCTACCTCACCGACATGTTCTTCATGTTCGACGCAGTGGTCAACCGCCAGATCACAACCCACGGCGAGTACATCCTGCAGGCGATCGGCCGGCTGTGCACGCTGGTCGACGATGAGATGCTCGCGAGGATGGCAACCACGCCGCCGCGCCTCTTCACCTCGTACAGCTGCTACAGCATCATCCGGACCTTCGCGCTCGGCGTGCAGCAGTGGGTCCAGGTGATGAGCACCAAGCAGCACAACGAGTCGATCAAGGACGCGCTAGTGCGCAGCATCCGGACCGAGCCAGAGCGGTTCCGCGAGCTCTGGATGATCTACGTCGTGCCGCACACCGACCCGCGCTGGGCGAAGAAGGAGCTCTGGGTTCGCACGTCGCGGCTGATGCGCGCCGACAAGATGGTGGGCGAGAGCGTGCGTGCAGCGCCGAGCATGCCTGCGCCGCCGATCAGCGGCGGCGGCGGCCACGGCATTCAGCACAACCCCGACAACGACAGGCAGAAGCGCATTCGCTCCGCCATGAGCAAGGCGGAGGCGGACATCGCAGCTGGCGGCGACGACGAGGACGACGAGGAGGAGGAGGAGCCGCAGCCACGCGTGTCGCGGCGCCGCCTCGCCCGCCCGGCAAACCGCGAGCAGATGAACGAGAAGTTCCGCGCCTGCTACTCTTCTCACCCGGACCACGCCCACACCGCCTGTGGCAAGCCGATGCCCCGATTCAACGACATTATCTACACCAAGTGGGACGCCGACAACGTCGCCTACTACCCCGCGCGGGTCATCGACATCGAGTGGGTTTCCGGGCGCTTCGAGTACGACATCGCGTTTACGACGCAGGACGACTACTCGCCAGTGCCCGCGGACGCGCAGAAGCACGCCGACGTCCGACCGCTTTCACTGACCATGATGCCCGACTGGTCGTACGACGACCCAACACCTAGCAGCTGAATGCCCGGGTACGCGGGGCGCAATCACACACACGCGCTTCGCAGAGTTGCTCGCCCCGCGCGCGGCTCTCATGACATGTCTCGAATTGAGCCGCATTGACTCTTGTCCATTGAACAGTGAGCAACCGTGCTTGTCAGGGTGGAGGCGGCGAGGGTGGGGGGTGGGGGCGAGGGTGGGGTGGCAACGCACGGTGGGGCGAGGCGGAGATAAGAGATATTAATTTAAGGTAAGGCAAGGTAACTCACAAAAAAATTAGATATTCTTACCTTTTAGCCCCCCTCCGAGACTGGAGACAGAACCCACCCGTACACAGGAGAGATGGGACTGCGTCCCGCCCCCGCTTGCCCTGACTGCACAGGATAGCGTGCCCCAATTGGCGACACATAGCGGGGGACACTGCGCAAGGAGGGGGTGCGACGGCTTTCTTTTGTCCTCTCGAGGGAATGTTCTCTCGGCGCCCATGGCCTTCTGAGGTTTCGTACTAATGACGTCCTTCTTGGCACTTCGGGCGTCGGTTGTGCGTATCTGTTGTGTCTAATTCCCCCGGTAATGTGTTACGGGTATCGGTCGCTGATTGAACGCTCTACCTCTAGACCATCATCTACTCTGCTTACTTCGGCCGTCGGCCGCTCGGTGGTCGAGTGGCTTCCGGATCGAATCGGCAGATTGACCCTTATAATTTTTTCACACCGGAGCGGGCCCAATTTTGCTCAGATGCACCTCCGAATTCGAAATCGTGTCCTCACGCTTAGCGCTTGGTGTACGTTCGTTTTTCGTCACGGGTGGTGGGCACTGGCACCAGCGCCCAGGACTCGGAGAGGAAAGATGATAGCGACGCCAACTGTGGACCTGCTACACCAACGGCTACAGCCCCAGCCAGCCCTGGCAGCCACCCCTCGCCCGCCACCGACCCTAAAGCCGCATCCGTCGCTAACCCTCGCCGTGCCCCCCGAGTTCGTGTTCGAGCGATATGGTCCGAGTACGTGCCGAGCGAGCAGGCGAGGGAGATCGGAGACGATCGGGGAGCGCGATGCGTACTTGCCCTCGATGTTGACCTTCCCCCACCACCACTCTCCCCGGACGACGCCGCTCTCGCATCTGCTATGGTCTCTCTCTCGATACACAACACGCTCGCCGACTTGGCAACAAGGGCAGACTCCATCGCGCTAAGCGACGAACCTGCCCCCGCCCCTCGGGGCGGGGGCCCCCGCCCCCCCGGGGGGCCCTTTGGGGCCCCTCCAGGGGGCGACCCCTCCGGGGAGGCCGGCTTTCCCCGTGCCGGTTCTCCCCAACCAACCCCGCCGGCAGCGCGAGCTGCCGGCCATATTGAGCGGTTCAACCGCGTCGCGCACTCGTCCCAACCGGGGGCCGCAGACTTGTTCTGCGCGCCAACGGCTGGTGACGCTGTGTTGCCCTTGAGCTAGTCCTTCCCCGGTCGCCTAGCCTCTGCGCTGTCTGGCGGACGCCTGTATGCCATGCGCGCGGACCACGCTTGCGTGGATACGTGGCTGGCAGGCTGACCCGTGTGCGGGGTAACCCGCGCACGGGGACGCTTCACGGGTTCGAGTCGTCAAACATTAAGCAGCGGAGGTATGCCGAGGGGGACCGGGAGGCGGTAAGCCGTCGTTGCCCGGCGCTGCTTGCAGCACCGTGGCGATGACGCTAAGAGGTTCCTCTTTTCCGCGCCCCCCCCGCAAGGCGCGCGATACAAACCGTACCCCAACAAGCATGATCCAGAGAACGGGGCATTGTACTACATATAGTGCGGGACCTGTGGCAGCAACCAACGACCTGGATGGCATGGGGACGGGGTGAACCGACGCCAACCAGCAGCGTTCACAGCGCAGTGCGAGACTAGGGTTGCAACCTGGCTCTTTTATACGTGAGTGAGTATTCTTCACACGGCGTCGAGCGCCGTAGAGACGGCCTCGAGAGCCGCCGCCAGGTGTGCCACGACCGCGGTCGCGAGGCTCGTGGCGATAGATGCGCCAGACCCGCTTGCGCCGCCGCCCTCAACGCCCGATACTCGGTCAGAGCCGGCGGAGCGACGGCGGCGGAGTTGCGGCCGCCGGCGACCTTCCCCTCGACCACGCCGCCGACCCGTCGACAAGCACACGCGGACTGCCATCGAGAAGAAGGAGAAGGATGGCGGCGCATCCGGAGCCCGCGGGCGCAGCGGGCGCGGGTCCGGGCGCGGGCGGGCGCGCGGGAACCCCGCCAGCGGAGGCGACAATGCCTCTGGCGGCTCTGCAGGCGGCGCGCGGCGCGCCCCTCGCCGGTCTCCCGCAGGCTCCTGAGGGCCGAGAGGGCCGAGAGGCGGGGTCGGTGACCCGGGGGCATGGGCGGTGCGGCCCGCGCCGCGCGCGGGCGCGTGGCAGCCCGTGAGGGCCGAGATCGGGTCCGTACTTCGACGTAGTATGGGCCCCCGGGGGCCCTCTACAGCAGCGGCGAAGTGAGCGTGTTTGTGGTGTTGGTGTGGCGTCTGAGCTTGGATCTGTGACTAAAGCCGGTTACCACTGATGGATCCCCACCCGAATAACACACAGTGAGCGCCCCAGGGCTTCACTACGCCCTCCGCGCGAAATCGCTAGTGGTGCTTTACTTTTGTGTTAGTATGGGTACGGTTCCCGAGACCGGCGATCACACCAAGATCACCATCGTCCTGAAAGGGACAAAGCTATCGTCCTGAAGGACCACGACGAGACGCCGTCCAGGACACATCCCTCTGGAACAAGGCATCTCGACTGTCGGACAATACTCAACAGGGACATCTCTCTATACACACGACTGGGGTTACCCCACTCCCAACATAAAGATCCGACGCCCCTCGCGCACCTCGACGATCGCGGAACGACGACAGATCGCGTCGCGGAGCCAATGCCAGACCTCGACGATCTGTCGGCGTTCCGCGATCTGGCGGTGCAGGTGGCGCGCACGGCGGGACGGATGATCCGCGAGGCGCACGCGCAGCGCGCGGGAGGCGGCGACGGCGGCAAGCTCAGCGTGGCTGTCGAGAGCAAGGGGAGCGAGCAGGGAGCGCCGGCAGCAGAGGCATCGGTCGACCTCGTGACGGCCACCGACAAGGCGTGCGAGGAGCTCATCATCGGCACGATCCGCGAGCGCTTCCCCAAACACTGCTTCATCGGTGAGGAGTCGACCTTCGCCGGCGGAGGCGCCGCCGATGCGCCGCTCGAGCTTGGCGAGCAGCCGACGTGGATTATTGATCCCCTCGACGGGACGACCAACTTTGTGCATGGCTACTGGCCCGTCACAGTGTCGATAGGGCTCGCCGTCCGAGGCGAACTCGTGCTCGGTGTCATCTTCAACCCTCTGCTCGATGAGATGTGCGTGGCGACAAAGGATGGCGGCGCAACGCTCAACGGCCGCCCCATACGAGTCGGCGGCGCGGCGGGTGTCGGCGAGGCGCTCGTCGTCAACAACCTGGGAGCGTCGCGCAACCCGGCGATGAACACGCTCGCCACGGCCCGGATCGGCGCGCTTCTGCAAGCCAGCCTGCGCGGGCTGCGCAACTCTGGGTCCGCGGCGCAAAACATGATCGACGTCGCCGCGGGCCGGCTGGACGCCTACTTTGAGGACGGGTTTGGAGGCCCGTGGGACGTGGCGGCGGGCTATGTCATCGTGCACGAGGCGGGCGGCGTCTTCCGAGACCACCTCGGCGGCCCTTTCACGCTGCGTGCAGGCAAGGGGCAGGTGCTGTGTGGCAACGCGGCGGTGGTGGAGGACATTGCGCGCGTGTTGCGGAGCGTCGAGCCGGGAGGGGGGCAGGCTCGGGGCTAGGACCCGCGGGTGTAGGCACGTCCACGCTGCGCAGCGGCTTCCCCGCGACCACAGCCCACCTCTCGCTCGCAGCGGGGCCGCACAGCCGTAGCCGCGCAGCCCCAACTCTCGCCGCAGTGACAGGGTATCTTGTGCAAACACGCCAAACCGTGTACATGTGCTAAAATGCTATAAATGCGAGCTGCGTCAAGCTCGAAGCTGTGTATGCAGAGTGACGCGCTTGCACCATCAGCAGATACAATCATCAGGGGCACCACCCCGGTGCTGGGGGTCAGCCGTCGGGGCTCGAGCCGATAATCAGGCTCGTTTTTTTTTCGCCACCAACAAACTTAAGAAACGAATAGACTCTCGAAGCGAAACGATCGATCGCATGGCGACGCCAAGCCGAATCATGTGACCGCAATCTCACAAGCAAAAGCGTCGCAAAATTGCCGAGAAAAGCGAATCTCTGTGTAGTAGAGGGGGCGTCCTGCAGTTAAGGGGAAACCCGGTACGCGGGGCCAACCCTCGGAGACCCGTGTTATGGCCCTGCGAACACGCACCCCCGGGGCTAGGGCTCTCTAGCCCGTAACCCGATCCCGATCATCGCGGCCCGCTGGGTGCGCTTCTCAGCTCCCCGGCCCTGGATGTGAGGCTGATAACTGCACTCCAAGTGCTCCAAGTGCTCTGATGTGATCTCTGATTTGGCCCAGCCCCCAATTTTATCGAATTTATTTCAAAATCTGCAGGCGCGGAGCGCCTGCGAAAGTTTTGGAGAAACTTGCGGTCGGGCCCCTGATTTTCATCAAGATCTTTCAAATTTGCGGTGTGGAGTTGGGGGTCCGGTCCAGGTCCGGTCGGGTTCGGGTTCGGGTTCGGGTTCGGGTTCGGGTTAGGGTTGGGTTAGGGTTAAAATTAGTCTTGTTGTGTCTGTATATGCCAGCGTTGCAGGGTTCTGCGCTGAGGTCTGGCCCCAGCGCCGACGAGTAAGACTCAGCCCCGTACGCTGACCTAGGGTTAGGGTTAGGGTGTTAGGGCTAGGGTTAGGGTTAGGGTTAGGGTTAGGGTTAGGGTGTAGGGGAGGGTCGCGCCACGAAGGCGAAATTCCTTTCGCAGCTGTGAGCGCTGTCAGAGCGGTGTTTCGACACCGAGATGGTACGCCCTTTTTTTTTCTCGAGCGCGGGAAACACAGACGCCCGGACCGCCCCTCCACCGGCGCCTGGTCAACGCCTAATCGAATGGCGGCGAGCGATCCGGGTACTCACGCACCCACGATTCTCGAATGCCTCGGCTCGGAGGAGCTGATGCGACTCGTGACTGACCTCGTCGAGAATGGCGACGCACTGTGTGCCGCGCTGGCTTGCACGGCCATGCGCGACGCGATTTGGGCTCGAGCTCCCAGGGCAGAGGAGGCAGAGTACACGTGGCACGTGAACATGTATGACGTGGCTCTGCGCGACACGGTCTACTCGCCTATCTTCAAGAGCGGCCAGTGCCGCTGGCGACTCCTCCTGGACGCCGCGAAAAGCGACGGTGTGAAAACGGCGTTTTCCATCTTCCTCGAGGTGCCCGACGCGGCGACGCTGCCACAGGGCTGGACGCGGCACGCGGAGTTCAAACTCGCCGTGCACAATCAAAAGCCCTCGAGGAGAGTCACCAGACCATGTGCACTGCACCCGCGGCCCGAACCCGCACTTCCAAGCGTCGCGTGACCCAGCCCTACTCCGCTGCACAGACGCCTCCCACCTGTTCAGCGCGCTGAAGCCGAATTTGGGCTACCCGAAGCTTGTGACGGTTGCGGAACTCTGCGAGGCGGGCTCCGGCTATGTGGCAGACGGCAAGCTCGTGGTCTCTGTCAAGGTGCGCGCCCAGGCAGCGAGGCCGCCTTTCCTGTGGCGGCCGCGCCTCTGCACGCCCCTCCGAGACTGCTTATCCTCGCCGGCCCGGCTGCGGTGGTGCATCGAGACATTTCCCGTGCTGCGGCCGCTTATGTGCGAGACAGCGGCCGCCGTCGGGGATCTGCACCTCTTCAAAATGCTTCGCTGCTTGACCGATGACGCATACCTGATGCCTTGGGACGAGGGCACCGCGCGAGCCGCGGCGCGAGCCGGCCACCACGAGCTGCTCAAGCTCGCGCGCGGTGTCGGTTGCCCTTGGGAGGAGGAGCACATGCTCGAGTACGCTGCAGAGAGCGGGTCGGTAGAGATGGCTACATGGCTGCACGAGGAGGGCATCCGGTGGTCCGGCAAGGAGCCAGGAATCGCCGCCGCTTGCGGGCACCTCCATTTTCTGCAGTGGGCCTTGGAAGCGGGTGGTGCCGCCTGGGACGCCGACATGTACACGTGGCCGGCTGCCACGGGCCAGCTCGATGTGCTACGCTGGCTGAATGCGGATCTGGACCTGCTGAGCGGAGACAGCGGCCCCCGTGGCTGGAGGTTCAAGGTCTGCTTGTATGCGGCAGCGGGCGGTCAGTTGGAGGTGTTGCGATGGGCGACGACAGTAGGTTCGGAGGATGATCCTGTCGGGCCGTTAACGGCGTTCATAGTAGCGGAGACCCTCGAGGTCGCCGCAGCCAACGGCCGCAGGTCTGTGCTTGACTGGCTGTGGGCCCAGCGCGATTGGCAAGGACTGTCTTCTTCACAACGTGAGCAAATTTGCTACGTGCTGTTCTTTGCCGGCGGCACGCGACGGCAACATAGTACACAGGGGCAGGTCCATTGATTGATTGATTGATCGAGCGGTTTGCGCGAGATGGCCCCGAAGTGCCAGTCTGCCAGCGCACTGCCAGCCCCGGTCAATCGCCGCACGCGGAGCACGCGCCGCCGCCGTCGGATGACGACGACGACAGGACGCAGGCCTTTGCAAACCTCGTCGACGATCCGATGAGCAGCTCGCAGATGAGCGTCATCGACAACCCGACGCCGCGGCCGCACGACACGGTGAAAAGGAACCGCAGCAGCAACGCGAACGCCGCGCTCGACTGCGGCGGCGGCAGCGGCGGCGGTCCATCCGAGGCGGTGCCCCTTGCCAAAAGGACAAGAGTATCCATGACCGCGTGCACGGCACGGTGGCGCTGCCGCCGCTGCTCGTCGCGGTGATGGACACGCCCCACTTCCAGCGGCTCGATCAGATCCAGCAGCTCGGCGGCTGCCACTTTGTCTACCCGTCGGCAAAGCACTCCCGCAAGGCGCCCGCGGCTAGAGAGTGTTCTCCCTCGCCGCCGCCTCGGCCCAGAGCACTTCTCCGCCGGCTGCCTCTGCCGCGCCGCCCTCTCCTGCCGCGCCCTCGCCCGTCTCCAGCCGTGCCCTCTCCTCCACCCGCCCGCCCCCCGCAGGAGCACTCGATCGGCGTCGCCCACCTCGCGGGAACGCTTCTCAAGCACCTGCGCGTCCAGCAGCCCGAGGACTGGCGCGCACTGGCACTAACACAGGTACACCACGGGAGCCGCCTAAGCGACTCCCGCGAGGACGGCGAGGCACTTAGCTCCGTGCACTCGACCGCCCTCGCCGCAGGCAAGCTCATTCACGACCTGCTCTGCGATGGCCGTGTGAAGAACGACTGAGATGCGCTGCTTCTGCAGCCCCAGCCAGCTCTTGGTGGTCCAAGTCACCTCATCGAGGTACTGGGCCCGCGTCAGCTTGTTCTCCAGCACGTTCGCCGCCCCAGCAGATAAGAATTTTCCCCTTCGCACGACACTGGGCACGGGACTGGCCGTCGGTTGTAAGGGCAACACAGGAGGTCGTCGTAGGTCCCCAATTACTGCCGCCGCCGCACACTTCGTTCAATGTTTGGCAAACACCGTTGCAGATCTGCCGGTTGATGGAGGGTGCCTGCGTGCCTCGTATCGCGAGGTCGCCGGGTTCCACGAGTAGTAGTCGTTAGCGCAGCTTGCGTACGCTCGAGAGGAGGCCACGCACGGGCACGGTGGCGGTGGCGGCGGCGGCGCCGGCGGCGGTGGTGGCGGCGGCGGTGGCGGTGAAGTCTTTGAGCATAGACCGTCGGTTGTAAGGGCAACACAGGAGGTCGGCGCAGCTCCATAACTACCGGCGCTGCACGCTACACCCAAGGGTTGGCAAAGCCCGTTGCAAATCTGCCGGTTGATGGAGGGGGCCTCGTATCGCGAGGTTGCGGGCTTCCACGAGTAGTAGTCGTCATCGCAGCCTGCGTAGGCTAGATAGGTCGACACGCACGGTGGCGGTGGCGGCGGCGGCCCCGGCGGCGGTGGTGGCGGGGGAGGCGGCGGCGAGGGCGACGCAGAGGGAGGCGGCGGCGACGGCGAGGCGGACGGAGGCAGCGGCGACGGCGACGCGGACGGAGGCGGCGGCGACGGCGAGGCGGACGGAGGCGGCGGCGACGGCGAGGCGGACGGAGGCGGCGGCGATGGCGAGGCGGACGGAGGCGGCGGCGAGGGCGAGGCGGACGGAGGCGGCGGCGATGGCGAGGCGGACGGAGGCGGCGGCGACGGCGATATCGAGGGAGGCGGCGGCGACGGCTCAAGAGGACCGGGCAATGGTGGGGGAGGAGGCGATGGCTCAGGGGACGGGGGGGAGGCGGCGACCGCCACTAGCGGCGGGGAGGCGGCGACTGCCACTGGTGGCGGGGAGGCGGCGACTGCCACTGGCGGCGGGGAGGCGGCGACAGCCACTGGTGGCGGGGAGGCGGCGACAGCCACTGGCGGCGGGGGGGCGACCCCTTCCTCCTCGGCGATGACCTCTACCAGCTGCCGCTGCTGCCCGTCGATGAGGACTTCCCCTTTGCCTGCGCCGCCGGCCTCCTCGGCTCGGCCGACCCAAAGGAGCAGTCGAGCAGCAACTGCGCCGGCCGCTGCCCCGCACGCTCCCAATGCCCCACAGAGGCAACCTATGAGGCGCTGCCCTGCGATGCGGGTCATTACTGCCCGAAGGGGACGAGCGTGCCCCTTCCCTGCCCCGCCGGATCGTACACGACCGCCACCAACCTCACCGCCGCGGGCGAGTGCACCGCCGCCTCGCCGGGCCACTTCGCCACCACCGGCTCCACGCAGGCGCAGTCGACAATTGGGAGGAGGGAGGGCGCAGTCGGCGTTGTCGTGTCTGACTCAGAGGAGGAGTTGGAGGTGCTCCGGCAACCTGGCCTGCTGATTCAGAAGCTCGCCACCGTTGTCACTCAACGTGCGTCATGCGTGATCGAGCTTGAGGGAGGAGCTCCGCTAACGATTCGGCCGGCAACCCAACGCCGCCGCCCATACCTGCCACCTACAAAGCGCCTGCTCTACGGCCCGTACCACCCACACTCCACTTTCCACTGATCATGCCCGTGATAGCACCACGGTAGTTGCGACCCCCCTCGCTGAGTGAGTGAGGAGCAGGAGAGAGAGAGAGAGAGATGCGAGCTTTTTGTGGTGTTGGTGTACGCAATATGAATAACGGGACAGGGTGGTTGTTCTCTCTCTCTATCTCCCCTTCTAGCTCTTAGCATGAGCTGCGCCCTCCCCTGTGTCCGACCCCTTTTGCGCAGTGTGCAACACCCAACACGACTAGTCACACCTTAAACTTTTAGGCCCTCCAAAATGCAAAAATCCCCCCCCCCCCCCATTCCATGCCATTCGGGTCGACACACAAGCTCATAAGACACACTCAGCTGGCTGCCACACTTGCCACACATGCCACACCCCGAGGGTGGGCTGAATTCTTTTTTAGAGCTCTTGTGGCGGCGCGACCCTGTGCGTCTGCCACTCCGTCTCACAACACTGCTCACTAGGCACGCGCACGGGACTGGCAGTGGCGCGCACACTGGCAAATAAAAGAATTTGCGGTGGCTTTGTCGCGTTTTTCTTCTTTATATCCTGACGGGGTGGTGCAGATGACAGCACGCCGGGGGACGTGCTGCGTGGCGGCGACACGAGAGCACCCATCTAGCGCGGAGAGTTTTTCTTTGATCTTTCTTGCCTTTTAACGTGTGACATAAAAAAATGTTCCAGTATTAGCAAGCAAAAAGGAGCACACACGACTTAGCAAGTCCGCACCACCCCGATCCCCGTCAGAAAAGAAAGATAGAATTTTACAACAAAGCTCCTTCGCACAACACTGCTCACTGGGCACGGGACTGGCGCGCACTGGCACTAACACAGCTCACAGGTACACCAAAGATAGAATTGCCCAGTGTCGTGAGAAGGATAGAAAAAACTGCAAATTCTTTTTGCCAGTGCGCGCCAGTCCGTTGGGGGCCGCAGTCTTCCCGTGCCCAGTGTAAAGGAGAATTTAACAAAAACAACTCTCTTCTCTCTCTCACAGCAGACAGGCTCGCGCTCGGCTCGACACAGGTAGGTGCGGACTGGCGCGTGCTAGCACTAACTATCACAGGCAAACCACCGGAGCCGCAAAGGAGAAAGAATTCTACAAATACAAGCCCCTCTCACAGCGGGAAGGCGACACACAGTCCGACCAACGACTGGGACACCACTGGCCCAAAGCCAAATACTTCAAAAAGCTCACGTAGGGATCCCGATCTAGGCCTGAATCCGCCGATCCTGTGCCGCGAATTGCGATGGCCAACCGCCGTCGCGTCCTCACCGTTGGCGCACGTGCTGATACACCTCACGCCAAGTCCCTACAAGCTCTGACCCACCAGCACGTGCGGGCGGGCGGGCGCCGATCAACGGCATTGGCGTGCGTCATCTCCACCGACTATGCCTCTGTCGAACGACCTGCGGAGACGCGCCTCGGGCAGCCTTCGGGAGAGGGATCGCGCGCGAGCGAGACTGCGCTGCAGCAGCGAGCCGCGCCCCTCCTCCGCGTTCGGAGGCAGAAGACCCTGCACTTCGACAGTGACTCCCGTCCAGGCCGGGTTCTGCTCGAGCGCCTGAAAGGCGGACAGCCACCCGTAAGAGAGGACCAGAACAGACCGGTCGCCTCGCTCGAGCATCGCCACCGCCTCATCGCAAGCAACGAAAGCCTCTTCGGGAAGCTCCTGTCGACGGCGCATGACTGCCGCACACCTGCCGCACACCTGTCGGCTCTGTTGACTGCCGCGCTGGCTGTTGCTGCCCGCCGCACACACCGGCCAAGCCTCGCACTCTTCTCATTACCGGCCTAACCTCTCCCTCTCTCATGCACCGCCGCACTACCGCACACGCCAGCCAACCCTCGCACTCTTCTCATGCGCTGCCGTGAGGGAGGAGCGGTGCGATCTCTCGCAGACCTCTCGCAGACCCCGCCTCCCGCCGCCTCCTCCCGCCGCCTCCTCCCAACGCACCGCCGTCTCCTCCCCCCGCAGGGCGACGCGTCGATGAAGGCGCGCAAGTGGGACCGGAAGAAGTACATGGGCGTCGAGCTCTCCGGCAAGACGCTCGGCGTGCTCGGCCTCGGCCGCGTCGGCCGCGAGGCAACCGCCGCCGCCTCCTCCTGTCCTCTTCTCCTCTCTCTTCGTCGCCTCCTTCTCCTCCTCCTCCTGTCCGCCTCTCCGCCTCTCCACCACCACCTCCTCTGCCTCCGCCTCTGCCTCCTCCACCTCTTCCTGCTCCTCCTCCTCTCCTCCTCTCCCTCCCCCCTCCTCTCCCTCTTCTCTCCCGCAGTCACACGGCATCATCACAGGCGACCAGAGGGTGAGGGGCCGGCTCCTTGCCTTGCACAGGTGATCTCGCGCATGCAGTCGTACGGGATGGACGTCATCGGGTACGACCCCTTCTTCCCTCCCGACGCCTTCTTCGCGCAAGCTCAACATCGAGCCGGTCTCCGCCGCCGACTGCATGGCGCGCGCCGACTTCCTCACCGTCCACGTGCCGCTGCTCGACGACACCAAGGTACTGATGTCGCCTTTTGTTTGCTGTGCTGGGGGGGGGCGACAGGGGGGGCGTGGCCCTGAGTTATGTGTACGCCAACTCAGGGTGTGTGGCAGCCCAGCTGGCTGTGTGTCTTGTGAGCCTGTGTCTGTGTGTCGCTCGAGCGTGTCGTCATCATCTGTCTCGCGTCCACCCATACAAGGTCAAGGAGCAAATCTCTCCCCCATAGATGGGCTGGGTTCACAGCGATTGTAGGAAAACGAAGGGACTCACTTGACGGTCGCGGCCTTCCGACTCGCGCCTCCGCCTCACTGGCACTATTGTAGCCCTGGCCGGTGCGCGTGCGAAGTTGAAGTTCCGGAGTGAAAATTCGAACGCGTTCTCTCACGGTGACCAAAAAATGTCCACCTCAGAGGCACCTCCGGAGGCAGGCCGCCGCACGCCGGCGACACAGCTCCAGCTGTCGAACTGACCCGCAGCTCCTCTCAGAGCGGGAACTGTGACGAAAGTTGACTGAGGCGGTTGTCAGGAATCATCATACGGATCACATGGTGGCTCTCTCATGACGGGAGACCGCCCGACCACTCCTGGGTGGCACTGCCACCGGTGTCGCTCGACGTCCTGTCGACAGCGACACATACCATGTGGGACGCGTCGAGTATCGACCTCTACTGCTTACCCAGCCTTCGAGTGTATCCTGGCTGTGGTCCCACACCAACTGGTGTCCATCTCAGAGACCGCAGGAGGTCATGAGGGTCGATGGGAGTGCCAACCCCACAATGCAAAAACCCAGCCCAGTAGATACCGCGCTGGTGTCCAGTCCCATCCTTGCGTTTTGCCCACGCACAACTGCATACGCGCTCCGCGCAGTTCCCACGTGCTACACCAAAGCGAGAGGAAAGGCCCGCGCCGTCGCCATCGGCACCACCGCCTCCCACGCATCCAGAGCCGGGTCGTACTGCTCGACCGAGCTAAGTGTGTTGTAGCCGGCACCCTGTCCGCCCACAGCGTACAGTTTGCCATCGAGCACCGCCACGGCGTGATATTGCCGCGCCTCTGCCATCGGCGCCACCGTCTCCCACGCATCCAGCGCCGGATCGTACCGCTCCGCCGAGCTGAGAGAGTTGTCGTCGACGTTCTCCCCGCCAACGGCATACAACTTGCCGTCGAGCACCGCCACGCCGAAGGCTATCCGCCGCACCGCCATCGGCGCCACAGCCTCCCATGCATCCAGTGCCGGGTCGTACCGCACGACCGAGCTGAGGAAGTCACCGCTGTAGCCGCCCACAGCGTACAGCTTGCCGTCGAGCACCGCCACGGCGAAATTACACCGAGCCGTCGCCATCTGCGCCACCGCCTCCCACGCGTTCGCTGCCGGGTCGTACCGCTCCACCGAGCTGAGGGCGCCGTCGTTGTTGAAGCCGCCCACAGCGTACAGCTTGCCGTCGAGCACCGCCATGGCGTGATTCTCGCGTGGCGTCGCCATCGGCGCCACAACCTCCCATGCATTCGTAGCCAAGTCGTACCGCTCCACCAGGTTGGAAGGTGCGCCGTCGGGCCCGAAACCGCCAACCGCGTAGAGCTTGCTATCGAGCACCGCCATGCAGGCTATCGTGTGTGCCGTCAGCATCGGCGCAACCGCCTCCCCCTCCCACTCATTCGTTGACGCGTCGTACCGCTCCAGCGAGTTGAGGATCTCGTTGTTGCGGCCGCCGATCACGAGCATGCGCGGCCTCTCGCGCTTCTTCAGCGTCTCCTTCCAGCCGCGGCGCCACGCGCGGCACGTCCCGTTGACGGCGTGCGCCTTGGTCGGCAGCTGGGCGAGGATGTGCGGGGCGAGGTCCGGCGAGAGGAGGACCTCGGAGAGGACCCACTCGGGCTGCTCCACGAGCCGGGCGGCGTGCTCCTCCGCCACGCGCAGCGCGGCGTCGCTCGCGCCCGCCTGCGCCTCGATGATGGCGCACAGCTGCTCTGGCGAGAGGCCCGCGACGCGCGCACCGATGCGGTGGGAGGCCATCGGCAGGCGGCACAGCGGAGAAACAAGCGGGCTCCCCCGGCCAAAAGGGTTGGATTTCGCTTGCAAGGGTGTGCGGTACTCTCCTACTCTCTCGCGTGTACAGTCCTAGCCTGGCTGTTCTTTTCACCTTCGTCATCCATACGCTCCTACTGTGCCGTCCCGCGTATTCAAAGTGCAAGGCCCAGTGCACGCGTGGGTGAGCACACAAGAGAGGGGACGGAAGACGGGGGCCGGGGCAGCGAAAAACAGCAAAAGTAGCAAGATCGGGCCCTTCGCCATGCGCGGTCCTTGCTGACCCTGCCAAACTCTCTCGCCGCCGTTCGCTGCTCGGCTTGCGTATGCGGATGGGAGCTTCGAGGACATGCAGGCGTCCCGCCCCCTCCGGCCATCCCCTCGGCTCCCAAGTGCGCGGCCGCGACGCGCTGCGCACCCTCTTCCGCGCTGCGCGCGCTCTCGGCACGGCCTTCGTCCGACGAGATCACCTCCTCTTCGCGCCGCAGGTGCACAACCAAGGGCTGGCCACCTCCGTATCCATCATGGTGAAGCCAATGGGCCAAAATTGGAGTGAGCTCCCCTCCCAGGTGGCCGGAGGGTACACCTCGGGTCGGCGTGCTGGGGGGGGCGCCGGTGCGCAAGCCCACTTTCCGGGCGACCCCGAGGGGGAGGAGGCCGGGCGAGTGGCAGCAATTCACTGTTAGTGTCCCGGGCCGCTGCGGCACCGTTTATACGGCCCCTCGTGATGTCTTTCCGATTTTGCATTGTGAGTCGTCCTCTGGCCAGCCGAGGGGCGCCAGAACGGCATGTGTACTGCTGCTGGCTGCGGGTGCGGAACGGGTTTTTTTTAAATCGCAACCAAGCATACTATACAAGGACACCCTCGGGGGGGACACTCGGCGCATGTGCGACGCGTCAGGGTGGAGTTGGCGGTGGCCGAGCGTCGTCTCCAGATCGACTCGCAGCGCGGAGTCGAGGGGTGAAGCGCGTCGCGCTGCGACACTCGAGAGCCGGCGGGATGGCCGTAGGGCGCAGCCGACTTTGATGTCCTCGAAGGCCCGGTGCGCATTCGTCCTCTGAGACCCACGCGTACAGGAAAGGGGGCGAGAACGCGCCATTCTGCTGGTACCGATTTTGCCACTTTCTGCTGGCTCGTTCGCCACCGTGAGTTCAGACTTCAGTCTGTGACACAACTGTGGTCTGTGCTCTGTGGATTGTGTTCACTCCGGAGAGTACTCTCTGCTGAGCGTACATTACGGAGAGATATACCTCACGGAGATCCAACACGACAACCCCAATCTCAATAATGTGTTCGACAACATACGGTAATAGCATATCTCGGATTACATTGTGGTCTGCTCGCCCCCCCGCAAAACCGAGCCGCGAGCGACCCGCCCGGTCGATCGCGATCTCCCCGCCCCCTCTCCCCACATCCTGCGTGGAGGCGCATCGCTGCGTGCACGGCGCAACTCCGACACACTCGCCCGGGGCCACATGTCTATGCAGTTCGGCGGTCTCATCTGCCGGCTCCATGAACCCCTCCCCTCGCTTCCCCTCTCCCTCGCTTCCTCTCTACGGCATGCCCGCCTCATGGCACCGCAACGCGCGCGACGGTGCAGGGACCTGCCGCGTGCGCCGTTGCTTCGGAACGGGCGCGGACGCTGGCGCCGGCGCCTTGCGGCGCGGCTTTGGGGTCAGCGCACGCGCGCGCAACCGCCGGGTATGCGGTGCGGTCGGCGCCGGCGGCCAATCCATCTGCCGCGTGACGGCGTGCGGCATCACGCCTACCAATGATGACGGCGTGGTGGTTCTCATCCCGCTCGCATCTCCTGCGCCGCAAGCGGCGAGGTCTCGAGGCTGCACTGCTCTGCCATAGCAAGGCCGGTCTGCTAACGGTTGTGCTGCGGGATGCTGCTGCTGCTGCTGCTGCTGCTGCTGCTGCTGCTGCTGCTGCTGCTGCTGCTGCTGCTGCTGCTGCTGCTGCTGCTGCTAATGCTAGTGCTAATGCTAATGCTAATGCTAATGCTGCTGGCTGCTCTGCTGCCGCTGCTCGCCTCCGCGCCACACGTCCACGATGGCCTGCGCGACGCCGCGGAAGCGAGGCTCGTTGGCGAGCTCGTGGCCTGCGACGCGGGTCGAACGTCGCCGCTCAGTGGCTACGTGCAAACGGCCCCTGGGCGAGCGGAAGGGCAGCGGAGACGGAGGCGGCGGAAGCGGGAGTGGCGGCGGCGAGGAGAGCGAAGAAGGCGGCGAGGGCAGGGGCGGGGGGCGGCATGGGGTGGTGGCGCGCGCCGACGCGCATCAGCGTCGCAGCGGCGAGGCGGGCGGGCGCCGGGAAGAGGCGGTGGTTGGAGGGCGACCTGTTCACAGCAGTGGGTGTGAAGAGACGCTGTTCACAGCTTGCAGGTGTGAAGAGAGAGGCCGGTGGTTGGAGGGCGACCTGGGACAGCAAGTGGGTTGTAGGTCGGTCGGTCGATTGTTAGGTGGGTCAGCAGGGCGCAACCTCCCGGGAAGAGGTGGTGATTGGAGAGAGGTCTCTCGGCGGCATCTCGGCGGCATCTCGGCGGCATCTCGGCTGCATCTCTACCACGGCGCGGCAGCGAGGAGGACGAGCCCGGCGGGCGAGTCGGTCGAGGAGGAGCCGCCGCCTGCCGTTGGGATGAGGCTCAAGCTCTGGAGGGAAGGTGCCCGGACGCGCGGTCTTGGGCGCGGGCGAGCGGGAGTGGGACGAAGGCATACGGCGCGGGCTGACTCGTCTTGTGCCCGCTGACCGCACCGTTCGTGAGGCGCGCAACGGGAGGGCGACAGCAGGGCGCGCGACGGGGGGATGCGCGGCGGAAGGGCGCGTGGCGGGAGGCGGCGTAGAGCGGGTGGGTTGGCAGGGGAGAGAGGGAGGAGCAACGGGAGGGACCCGCGCCACGGCGCCTCGCGTGCATCTAGGGAGGCAGACCGCCCCTGCTTGCGCTGTCCGAGCCGCCCTCCAGCCCGCGCGCGAGGCTCACCGGCGTGGGGGCGCCAGGCCGCGTGCACGCATGCACGTCTGCTCGGGGGGGGGGGGGGGGGGGGCGGGAAAAAAATGGGCCCCCACAAGGGAAAACGCGCGCCGTTAATTTCCCTCGGTTTTTCCTCCCCCGGCTCCTCCTCCCTTTCCCAATTTCTCCCTTTCCCCTCGCACGCTCCCCGGCCTCGCCCTCCTCCGCCTCTGCCTCGCAACTGCCTCGCAACTGCCTCCCGACAAGTGCCTCGCGCCTGCGCCGTCGAGCAGCAGCCGGCGCGCGCGGCCGGCGGAGAGGCAGTGCAGGTGGTGGAGGGGCGTGCACCTACGGTAGGCGTGAGTACACCAACCTCGGGGCGGGAGCACGGGATAGTGCGGAGGACTCGGAGCACCGCGTGAAAACGGGGAGGACGAGAGCTGAACCCGGCGGCATGTCCTCTCGAGCGGTAGTTGGAAGACAAGAGTCGGCGTCCGCTTCTAGGCGCGCGCACCACTCGCGCGTCCGCTGCAGCCAGGCGGTGACCTCATCGTCCATCTCGGAGAGTAGCTCCACCGCCTATGTACCGTGTCCCAGCCACCTCGTTTGCGGCCGGAATCGAACCGGGGCGGCTCGGGCAGCGGTACGCGACGCGCCCTCGGAAGGCTAAAGCAGCGGCGGGAGGCGCCCCACGCGGCGCAGAGCTGCACGCAGTCGAGCCGCCCGTTTCGCGCTGCCACGAAGAGGGGCGGCCACCCGTCGCGGGACGCCGCGTCCACGTCCGCGCCCGCCTCAAGCAGCGCCCGCGCCGACGCCGTGTGGCCGCGTGCGCAGGCGATGTAGAGCGGCTCGTGGAGCGAGGCGGAGGCGGCGGCGGGGTCGGTGGCGGCGGAGGCGGCGGGCCGTGACACGGCGGCGCCGGCGCCGATGAGCATCCTCACCGCGGCGACGTGCCCCTCGTGGCACGCGATTGAGAGAGGGTCGACGCCGGCCTCATTTGGTCTGTCGACCCGCGCACCGGCAGCGATGAGGAGGTTGACGAGCTCGAGGTGGCAGTGCTTGGCGGCGATCCAGAGCGGCGTCACTCCGTGCTGCACCGCGCAGTCGGGCTGCGCGCCGCCCGCCAGGAGCGCCACCGCGACGTCCACATGCCCATTGGCGCAAGCGGCGTAGAGCGCGGTCGCGCCCGACTGCGTGCGCCGGTCGACGCTGGCGCCGGCAGCGAGGAGCGAAGATACGATTTTAGCGTGGCCAAAGTACGACGCCGCGTAGAGCGGCGTGTGCCCGCGCGAGGTTGCTGGCGAGACCCTGCACGATGCCGCAAGCAGCAGGACCGCGACTTCTTCGTGGCCCGCCTTGCACGCGAGGTAGAGCGGGACGTGGCCCCCGCTGTCGCTCGAGTCGCAGTCGACGCCGATGGAGAGCAGCCGCAGCACCGTGCTCGCGTCGCCGAGCCTCGCTGCTTCCCACAGGCTCTTTGCTCGAGTACGCATTCCGGTCGCGGCCAGCAGCACCTGGGAGCGGAGAGGGCAGGCGGTGAGGGCACTCGAGCGACGCGCCAAGCCGCAGGCGGCGCAGTCTGGGTGGAGGGGAGCAGGCGGTGGCGGCGGCGCAAAGACGGCCGCGCGGCGAGGGTGGGCGCCATTGGATTCCTGGCTAGCCTGATGGATCCCCACCCACAATCAAGACCGGCATCTCATGACCGTGTCGTCTGCATCGTAGCGAAATTTCTCTTTTCTTTGGTATGAGTTCGCGAACACGAATCCGATTGAGGACGACACGCAGTGGTAATCCCGTCGGCAGCTGTCACGATGTTAGTACCCCCTCCTCTTCTGAGAGCCGGATCGCGGATGCGGCTCAAGCAAGCAAGCAATATCAATCACTCAAGCAAGGCTCTGCCTGCCGGCGGGTCTGTGGCCTGGCGTCTGCCAGGCTGCGGGTCCAAAGTATCCCGGCGCTACCGCCCCCCGGCGCGGGGTGGGATGTCAGTTCGTGAGTTCTGTGGCCCCATCCCTGTGCCCCGCCCACCTTCTTTCCCTGCCTGCGCCAGTCCGCGCGACCCCACTCCTAGCGCCACCTCGTGAGCTGTCCTGTATGTCCTGTATGATTTGATTGTGATTGGAAGGTGAACGTACCGTGATCCCCTGGAACACCCGTACCCCCGCACCATCTCCGTCGCTTGGTTCCATAACCTCTGCCACAACCGGGAGCGGCCAGGAGCCCAGGACTCATAGACTCGGTCGAGAGACCCCAGATTGGCACTCATGCCTCTCTGGACAGGGTGGCCCGCCACAAGGACCCCAGGAATTGCAACTCGCCGCTTTCCTCCCGCTGTGATTCTGTGTGAGCTCTGTCTTGTTTTGCCAACAATACACCTAACCCACAGGCTAAGCAATCAAACGCAAAAGAAGGGTTAACGAAACGGCACGCCGACCGGATTTGCCGCGCGAGAGAGAGGGGCTGGGAGAAGATTTCGTCGACGCGAACTGCCGAGGCGACGAGGGAGCCGTGCGGGCGTGGCTCGACGGCAACGGCCGTGTCAACTCGACGTTGGGCGGTGGAACCGCGCTGATGTTCGCAGCCTCCCACGGCCACGAGCGGCTGGTCAATATCCTGGTGCAAGCTGGCGCAAACATCACCCATCAGGACACCGATGGCGACACCGCGCTGATGTCTGCCGCCGACAACGGCCACGAGAAGGTGGCCGACCTGCTGATTCGGCACGGCGCGGATGCGGACCAGCAGAAACCAGAATTGCTGCGGCGGCACCGCGTTGATGATCGCCGCCCAGCACAGCCATCTCGCCGTGGTGCGCCGCTTGCTGCAGGCGGGGGCAGACACGCAGAACTCGACTCAGAGGGTAGGTCTGTGATGCAACTGGCCGCGGGGCCAACGCTGACGGCGGTGATGGAGGCAGAGACAGACGCCCGGCTGGCCGAGTTGGAGACGCTAGAAGCCACGTGCTCTAGCAGCGAAGCTTCATGGCTAGCGGAATTGCGGGTCAAGCTCGCGCAATATGAAGCCGCAGCAGGAGGAGCATAAGCAGACGGCTCACTTCGCGGGAAGAAAGGCTATGCTTGAGGCTGAAAAGCAGCAGATGGAGAAGAAGATGGCGGACCTCAACGCGCACATTTGAGGTCTAAAGGAGGCGAGCACGCCCCGTCGCAACGGCAGTGGAACTGTCGAGCGGCTCCGGCGGCGGCAGCAGCGCAACTCGCAGGCGGAGGCTGGCCACAGCTCGCCACGGGCAAACCCCTCCGAGGCCGATGGTTTAGCGGCAGAGGCGGCGGCAGCGGCCGCCGCCGCCTCCTTGCTCGCTGAGGAGGAAGCTGCGCAGCGGACCAAGAGCAAGAAGATGCAGCGGAAGGGCAAGGTCGGCAAGAAGAAGGGTGCGAATGGTGTCGGCAAGGGCAGCCCCAGGCCAAGGGATGGGGTACTCGCGTAGGATGTCGATGCGGGCATGAACTGTGTGCTTGCAAAGGTGGCGGGGGCATCATGTGTGAAGCGCCATAGGAGGTATTTTCTTCTCAATAACAAGGCTGTGAAGGTCCCGTCCTCGTCGCGTCCCTGTGGCCGAAGAGCTCGCTCTCGCAGAAGCAAATGGCGCATCACCGAGTCCCACGCGCGCTGCTCGACGCGGCGTCGGAAGAGGACATGCCGCCGGTGCCGACCGCGCCGCCCTTGCCTCCTCTCGCCTCGCTCGCCTCGCGTGCCTGGAGCCCCCAATACGAAGCCGCGTGCGCCGCCTTCCGAGGGCCGACGCCGCGCTCGAACTGGATCGTCCCGGGCCGCATCCTGTGCGGCGAGAGGCCGCACGATAATCTGAAGCTCCTATGCGGCGCTGGCGTCACGACGTTCGTCAGCCTGCAAACCAAGGGCGAGAGCCCACCGTACGACAGCGGCGTGACGAAGCTGACTCCATCCGCCCGCTTCATGTCGCTGCCGATCGTCGACCAGTGCACGACCGACGACGCGCTCGTGGCGCGTCTCGTGCTGTCGCTCCTCCAGCGCCTCGCCGACGGCGAGACGCTCTACATCCACTGTCGCGGCGGCCACGGCCGCACGGGCACCGTCTGCAGCCTCCTGCTCGGCCTCGTGCACGGCCTCGACGGCCCTCGCGCGCTCTCCACGTACCAGGCGCTGCACGACCTGCGCGAGCAGCCGTGCTTCGCGTCCCGCAGCGGCTACGAGCCGAGCGCCGACGGTGCGGCGTGCGTGGCTCTCTTCGACGAGCAGCGCGCGCAAGTGATCCGCCTGCTAGCAGCCGACGAGGGTGAAGCGGCGGCGGGAGTGGCAACGGCGGCGGCGGAGGCGGAGGCGCCACCGCCCACGACCGAGGCGGAGCCAGCGAGTCGGCTCAATCGGCACAACTCGAGCAAGGCGGAACGGCGCGCGCTGCAGCAGGCCCGGCGTTCCGCCAAGCCGCCGTCCGAGGCGCCTCCGCCACCACCCGCGTCGCACCGCTGGAGCCACTACCTGGTACTCGATTTCGAGGCGACGTGCGAGCGTAACGACCCGACGCAGAGCCAGTGGTCCGAGATTATCGAGTTCCCGTGCGTGCTCGTCGACGCGCACACGCTCGCCACGCTCGGCGAGTTCCGCTCGCTCGTCAAGCCCGTCGGCCGGCCCGTGGGTGCCTTCTGCACTGAGCTGACGTCCATCACGCAGGAGATGGTCGAAGGCGCGCCGACCCTCCCCGCCGTTCTCAAGCAGTTCAGCGCGTGGCTACCGAGCGTCCTCGGCACGGACGACGTGTCCAGCGTGCTGCCGGTCACGTGTGGCGAGCCCGACCTCTCGGCCATGCTTCCGCGCGAGTGCGCGCGCAAGCGGCTGCAGGTGCCGCCCGTCCTCAAGCGCTACTGCAACGTGAAGAAGCCCTTCACCGCCCACACCGGGGCCAAGGCGGGCGGCATGGACAAGATGCTCCGCCAACTCCAACTGCCGCTCGTCGGCCGGCACCACCTCGGCATCGACGACGCGCGCAACATCGCGGCCATCGTCGTGCGGCTTCGGCAGCTCGGCGCGAAAATCGACGCGACGGGCGGCTCTTCCGCGACCGACGACGCGACCGACGCCAACGAGGGTGACGCGGCGGCGGCGCCGCTGCCGCCGCAGCGAAACCTGAGCGAGGCGTACGGCCGCGGCGCGTCCAAGTACGACGAGGCGACGCTCGCCGAGTGGAGGACGCGCGGCGAGGGCGCGGCGGACGCGGCGAAGCGACGCGATTGGGCGACGGCCGTCGGCGAGTTTGAGGCGTGCGTGAGCTTGCGCCCCGACTGGGACAAGGGACGCGCGTGCCTCGCCAAGGCCAAGGAGAAGGCGGAGGCGGCGGCGGCCCCGGCGGCGGCGCCGGCGGCGGTAGCGCCACCGGTGGAGGCGCTGCCGGTGGAGGCGGCGGCAGCGGAGGCGTCGGCAGCGGAGGCGTCGGCGTCGGCGTCGGCGTCGGCGTCAGCGCCAGCGTCGGCGTCGGCGTCGGCAGCGGACAGTCGCGGCGGGCAGGGCCGCCTCGGTCCGCAGGTGCCTTCGTTCGTGGCGCTCGTCGGGCTGCCCGGCTGCGGCAAGTCGACGTTCGCTCGGGCGCTCGCCGCGTCGCACAAGTCATGGGTGGCGCTCGATTCGGACGAGGTCGGCGGCCGCCGCGCGTTCGAAGAGGCGCTCTCTCGTGCGTGCGGGGGCGGCGCGGAGTCGCGCGTCGTGGTCGACCGATGCAACGTGAAGCCGGCCGACCGGCGCACGCTGCTCGAGATTGTCGGGAGGGGCGCTCCAGGCAAGCGCGGCGGCGGCGGCGGCGGCGGCGGCGCGTGCGTCGCTGTCTTCTTCGACACCGACAAGCGCACCTGCATCGAGCGCGTCGCGGGACGCACCGACCATCCGAGCATCCCGTACGGCCACGGTCGCCCCGCGGTCGAGTCGATGGCCAAGGCGCTCGAGCTACCACCCGCCGTCGAGAAGCTCCGAGCCGGCGGCGGCGCGGCCGCGGCCTCGGCGGACGCCGAAGGGTTCCGCTGGCACGTCGTGCGCAGCGCGGCGGAGGCGGACGCCCTCCTCTCGAGCTGGGGCGCCGCGCCCGCCGAGGCCGCGCCGCTCGGCCTCTTCAAGTTCCCGCGCACGCGGCACATCGTCAACACGGGCGGCACCGCCGTGACGCGCGACGACCTGCTGATGGATGACGCGGACGCGCGGCGCTTCTTCGACGGCGTCACGACGGTCGTCGCGGAGGAGAAGGTCGACGGCGCGAACCTCGGCATCTCCCTCACGGCGGACTACCAGTTCCGTTGTCAGAACCGCTCGCACTTCGTCAACCCGCAGTCGCACGCGCAGTTCAAGCCGCTCGCGGGTTGGCTGGAGGAGCACGGCTGGGCGCTGTGCAGCCTCCTCGAGCCCGAGGTCGAGGTCCTCTTCGGGGAGTGGTGCGTCGCGCAGCACTCGGTCAAGTACAGCAAGCTGCCCGGCTACTTCCTCGCCTTCGACATCTACAACAAGCGCACGGGCACCTTCGTCTCGGCGAGCGAGCGGAACCGCCGGCTCGCCGGCCTCGAGATCCCCGTCGTGCGCACGCTCGCGCGCCGGACCTTCGCCTCCAAGGACGAGCTCCTCGAGCTCCTCGAGATGCAGTCGGCCTACGGCGACGGATACGTCGAGGGCACCTACCTGCGCATCGACAGCGACGCCGGCGGTGCGGGCGCCGGCGCGGCCGACGCGGCGGCGCACGCTCCGCGGAACGAACTGCGCGGCAAGATCGTCCGCTCGGACTTCATCCAGGGGATCACCGACCACTGGCAAGCCTCCGACATCGTGAAGAACGGGGTGCGGCCGGACCTGTGGGCGGGCGTGGAGGAGGAGGAGGAGGAGGAGGAGGAGGAGGCCGTGGGCGTCGCCTGAGCTGAGCTACCCTCGGTGGCAATTTGTAAGTTGTAACCCACGCGTGTGCGCGGTGCCCCGTGCCGGCGATGCAGGAGGCGCAGGGTGCGGACGCATCTCAAGAGTGCGCGCTAGCGGGCCAGGTGGCAGCGGCGGCGCCAGCCGATTGGCTGGCGGTGGAGGAAGCGCGCGAGGAGGCGGAGCCGGCTGCGCGTGCCGAGGCGGCAGCAGAGGCGGCAAGGGTTCAAGCGATGGAGCGCGCCGGTGCCTGCCTAGCCGAGGAGTTGATAGCGAGGGTCGTTTCGGACGCCGCGAAAGATCTTGCGGCGGCGGCAGTGGAGCGGCGCACGTTGGCGGCGGAGGCTGCGAGGCAAGAGGTGGAAGAGGCGTCGCGACGAGAGGCCGAGGCGCAGGCGCGGCGCGAGGCAGCAGCGGAGGACAGGAAGTGGCGTGAGCTAGAGGCGACGGCCAAGGCGGAGGCGGCGGCGGTGGCGGCGGCGGCGGCGGCGGCTGGGCTTGTGGCGGCGGCGGCGGCGGCGGCTGGGCTTGTGGCGCCCGCGCTTGCGTCGGCGGTATTGGAGGCGAGGGCGGAGGCCGAGAAGACGCGGCTAGGTGCGCGCACTCCGATTCGCGGTGAGCGCGCTGCGGGCCGCGCCTCTAGAGCGGAGCCTCGACCTTGTGGGCAGGTGGGTGCACGCCGTGGCTGAGGACGGCGTCCTTTACTCCTTCGACCTCGGAAAGGGCGAGCTCGGCCACTTGCTCAAGGCGCGAGAGTTGCCCGAGATGCAGCCGAGATGCAGCCGAGATGCAGCCGAGATCTGGTCGAGAGAGCAAGGGCCCGGCCTGAGCCTCCCCTTGGCAAGAGAGGTTCGCCCTTCGGCCAAGGTCTGCCCGAGGCCATGTCGAGAGATGTGGCCCAGATCTAGCCGCGAGCCCACCCGAGGACGAGTCGAGAGGGCACACCGCTGCCGCTGCCGCCGCCACCACCACCACACCACCACCACCACCAAGCCGCCGCCGCGACCGCACCGCCGCCGCCGCCGCCGCCACCACCACCACCACCCACCAAGCCGCCACCGCCGCAACCACACGAACCAACACCACCACACCATCACCAGTCGAGCTCGCCCCCGCCGGGTCGTCCGCAGGCGCACGAAAAGGACGTGATCGGCGTGGTCTCCCATCCGCACCGCAACCTCGTAACCGGTTTCGTCGCCACGTGGTGCGACGACGGCACACTCCGCCTCTGGCGGGCGTCGGCCCATGGCGACTGACGCCCCCGGCCGGCGCAGCGTGGGGGGGGGGGGGCAGGCACGCCGCTTTGTCTAGGCTCTAGCCACCGCGCTCGCGTCTGCGCGGGGGCCGTACAAATGCTCAGGGTATGAATCTACGTAAGCTCTGGGAATCCGCTCTGGGGGCCTCTGCAGTTCGTTTGTGCAACTGAAAACTGTACTCACACCTCCTCACGAAACACAGGGCGTGTGAGCCCGAGTTGCCAAGTTATACTGACGGAGCGGAGAGCCGAGGGCGAAGAGACAGTTCCCGCGTGCCGACTGCCGTGGCCCGTGTGCCGACGCGCGACGCCCCAGCCACATAGAGCATAATGCGCCCCCCACAAGGACAAGCCCCCCCCCCCCCCCCCCAAATAATTTGTGGGAACACGTTATATGGAATATAAGCGCTAAAAAGAACCCCCGTAAGGGTTCCATCCCTCACTCCCGCAATGGAATTCCCCGTTTCCCATAAGGGAGTCCTCTCCCTCCTGGATTGGGGAA